GATGAGGGCAATGAATGTACAAATGTGCTTTAAACAATTGATGTATGTATAGATTGTGATAAGAGTTGTATGAGTCCCTAATAAAATGATTAAAAAAAAGAAAATGCTAATATAAAAAATTGCAATACCTTATAATTTGATCTCCCTTTTAACTCATTTTAAAGCTATTTCACTTTTTAAGATTTTCTGTTTTCTTTTTTATTGGTTTTCATGTTTTGTTTTGTCATGATTGTTAGGATATGTTATTTGTTTTGTATTATTTTCTGTATACACAATCCAGGATAGGTCAATCTATATTCATCCAATATGGATTAATAATTACCGAGAGGCATGTCAGGGGAGTTTAGGGTGAAATGGAGAGCTAAAAACAATGAGCATGAGAAAGAAAAAAGTGTTCTGAAATTGATTATGGTGATACTTGCACAACTCTTCTTAATATTAAATTATATGATATATGAATCATATGTCACTAATGTTTTAAGGAAGAAAAGTCTGGAATTGAACCTCAAAGTCAAAGGGGACTTTGGCCTATCTATAATTACAACTTTTGTTCCAGAGAATTATGCATAACCTTTGTAACTTAAAGTTAGGTTAAGAATAAAATCAACATAGACATAACGCAACCCAAACCCACTGGTTAAATCCAACTCATAGCAACCCTACAGGGCAGAGTGAAACTGCTCCTTAGGGTTTGCGAGATTGTAATTCTTGATGGAAGCAGACAACCTCAGCCTCATCTTTCTCTTGTAGAGCAGATGGTGGATTTGAACGGATGACCTTGTGGCTATCTCCCAGTGCCACCAGGGATCTAGGGCAATGTTCACATCACTAGACTAGTATTGAACATTTAACACTCATCTCTTGATCTGAATTTGCCCAGCACCTCAGGCTGTGCCTGGCCCTCTGGAGGCCAACCAGTGGTGAGCCAGAAAGGCATGTCCTTGCCCTCTCTAACTGCGCATCTAGTAGAAACAGAGACAAGTGTGATCCGGGTAGGGAGAAGAACCACAGGACTGGCCTGGTCTGGGGACTGGGCAGCAGGTGTCCTGACCTCAGAGGGATGAGCCGAGGAGTTGGCAGGCTAGATGTGGCTGGGAGATGGGAGACGAGAAGGGGCAAGGGAGCCTCGCAGAGGAGATAGCATGCAAGAACAGTAAAAAACGGGGCTTGGGGCTTGGACAAAGTGGCGATGGGGCTGGAATAGGCTGGCAGGGAGCATGCGCAGTGAGGCTGGCCTGGCGAGTGTCAGGCAGGGACAGCGGGCCTTGCCAAGCCATGCATTTGGATCGTGTCCCAGGAGGGCTGAGAAACCATGGAGGCCTTAACAGAGAGTGATCTGATCAGATTTGCATTTTCATAAAATCTATCTGGTTGCTGAGAGGGAGGGAAGAATGGGACAGGGGGGCACGTAAGAGGCTATTGCAGCAATCCAGGCACCAGATGAAGGTGGCCCGAGGTAGGGAGCAGCCCTGGTGGTGAAGCGGAGTAGGTAGATTCGAGAGACTTGTAGGGTTGAGCCTTGCTTGTGATCATGGAAATGAACTGCCCTTTCCGACTCCTTGTTCACTCCTTCTACCGTGGGAGGCAGCGGGGGCAGCAGTGCTGCCTCTGTTTGGAGGATTAGGAAACAAGAGGCTCCGTGACGGTAAGAAACCAAGTGGTGAGCAAGTTGGCCAACTGGCATCTGTCTGCCAGTCTGCTGTGAGACGGGGCATCGCGTTGCTGGGAGGCTGGGAGGCTGGGAGGGATGCCTTCAGTATTTCCGATACGGCACGGTCGCCCGTGGGGAACAGGTTTCAGCAGCTTCCAGGCCCAGACAGACTAGGGACAAAGACCTGGGGATCTCTTGGGGAAATGAGCCAATAAAAAACCTGATGGATCAATCACCACAGTACCCACTGTTGATCTGAGAGGTACAGCACCATTGTTTAAAAAGCTGGACCTAACTCCCCAGCAATCATGAGTGCAGGGCTGAGCAAGGCTTCCTTCTGTTGTTCATGGGGTTGCTATGAGCCAGGGGAGCTCGATGGGAACTGGCAACCACCATTGGATAAGGGAGAGGACATCCTGACATGTGCTCTTCCCACAAGTGTCCCTGGGCTCCCAGCCTGCCCCCCCTCCCCCTGTCATTGTCCCCGGAGCCCCACATACTCACTAGTGTGCAGCCAGCTTGTGAAGGTGAGAGAGCAGTTCTGAACGTCGAAGGGGAAGTTATAGATGTCGAGGCTGCAGGCGGTCACCACCTGGAGGGGCTTGTAGTTATGGATGTCACCATCTTGCTGGACATACACGTATGGGATATATGGGGACTTCCCCACGTCCACACTGGCCGAGGAAGAGGGACAAGTTTGGGGGCTCAGGAGATAGCCCTTAGCTATAAAGATCTCTGGGCAACCCGGTTCTCTCTGGCCCAATGTTTCTAACCTTCCTGTCCATCCCCTTTCGTGGCCATTGTCAAGGCTACTTGGCAAGCAGTAAAAGGTGCTTTGCCTTCTTTTGTCCCCTGGCATCCCAGCTACAAAAGGCAGGGAAACAGACCAGGGGCCCGACACTGTAGGATACAGGGCTCATGCATAACTGACCCCACCGATAGCCCATTTGTATTGGGCTGCTCAGCTCCCAGGATCAGCAGCCTGGGGCCAGGGCAAGGCTTCACCCTGATTCGGGCTTCTCTTTACCTCCCAGCCCCAGAAGTCTTGTGAAATGAAAATCATTGTCTCTGCAGGAAGGAGAACTAGAGACATCACTGAGAAGAGCTAAGGGAGACCAGGAAAGTCCCACCAGACCTCACTCCCCCTGCCAGGTGGACCCCTGACTCCTTCACCCTCCCAGGGACCACTGCTGTGACTTGGAGCAGGCTCAGCAGGGGGCATTGGGAGCCTGTTGTCTCCTGTTGAATCTAGCTCAAGTTTGAGAAGCCAAGGCTAAGGCTATTTCACAGTGTAATGGAGAGATGCAGCGAGAATCCGGGATGTCTCAGAAACCCCTCCAACCTGGGCGACGGGTCCAACGGAAAACCATGTGAGTGGCACCCCCTCTGGAGGTGGGCAATGCAGTAGGTGCTGCGTGGGAGGAAACGGGCCCTGTCCCCTTCTCCCTCTTGTCTTTCTGCCCCAGCCATCTCCCTGGCCACAGAGCCTGAAGGAATCCCAGGCAAGGGGGTACTGGATGGGGCCAAAGGAGACAGCACCTGGCTGCCAGGAATGGAGGCATACAGAGAGGGTGCCTCTTGGGACCCACTCCAGCTCTCCCCTGTGAAGAAAGGTAGTGATTGCCCAAAATGACCCACTTCTTTCAGGAACACCACTGTCCTTTTAAAAACGTGTTCCTTCATTACAGCTCAGCATAAAGTCACTCACTGGCTCACTTTCTCCTAGAGCAGGAAGTCCTCAGACCAAGAACGAGAAGAAAAGGGAAGAAATGGCAAAGGGGAATTGGGGCCAACTTGACTGTCAGTTCTGAAGATCCGGGCGCCCCTCCCCTCCCCCCAGCCCCCAGCCCCTTGTCTCCTTCAGCCCCTAGTCTGCCCGGCCACAAATTGTGGGGTACTCACAATTCATTGATGAGAATGTCGGGGACCCAGATGCTGTCCGTGGGGATGGACAACTTGGTGACGTTGTCGAAGTCCTCGGGGTCCCACTGGAGGAGCTCATCCTTCCAGCACTGGGGGAAGACAGGCCTGGTCACAGGAGCGCCCCTGCCCCTGCTAAGGGGACTGGAACTCAGACCGACTTCACCCCTCAGTCCCCAGGCCACAGGTGGCCCCCTGGGAAAATCTGGGTGGTACCTAACTCATTCAGAAGTATCAAAGTTCCCATTTCAGTGCTCACACCTCCCTGCCCCCCTGCGAGACACACACACACACACACACACACGGGACACAGGCAGAGGTGGCCTCTCTCTCTCTCAGGGAAGGAAGACATTTGTCATTCTCAGGGCTTTGACTCCCCAGTCTATCCACGGGAGGATTTCAGACAAATAACATCTTGGGTCTTGGTGCACACACACGTCAACAGGGACAATAACATCCAGCCTGGGCCAACCGAGGCAGCACAGAAGAAAAGGCCGGGCGATCTGCTTCCACAAAACCTTACAGAGCTCAGCTGTACCCTGCGACACAGGGGGGTGACATGAGTCAGAATCCACCCGCAGCCACGGAGTGTGTGTGTGTGTGTGTGTGTGTGACACAGAGAGAGAGACAGACAGACAGAGAGTGAGAGATCTGTGCTTCTCACAGGGCCAAGGTGGTTATTGTTAAGTTTGGGTCAAGGCAGTCTCCACTCTCCTGAGGGAATGGCCGGTCTAAATTATAACTCTCTTATTTAAATTCTTCAGTGGCGCCCTATTGTCCTTGTGGTTAAAACTGGCTGCTATTAAGTCAATTCCAACTCACAGTGACCCAGGAGAACAGAGTAGAATTGCCCCCTCGGGTCTCCAAAGCGGTAGTCTTTACCGAAGCAGAAGGCTCCGTGGTTCTCCCTCGGAACGACTGGTTCATCTGCAGACCTGAGAGCCAGCAGTTGAGTGACTAACCGCTGTGTCATGAAGTCAGCTCCGAGTTGTGGTGGCTTTTTTGTATCACCAAGCAGTGTCGCCTGGTCCGATGCCAGCTTTGTGCTTGTCGACATGTTTGAATCAATTGTGGATAATTGAGTTACTCCATGCACGGAGGGGTTCTCTTTGTCTTTATTACATACTCCTGTCCATCAACTTGTCCTGTGAGGGGCTCCTATGATGTGTTGCTTGCTGAAGGAGAAGGAACCCTGGTGGCACTGCTGGGTAAGCATGAGACTGCTAACCCCAAGGTCAGCAGTTCAAACCCTCCGGCCACTCCATGGGAAGAACAATGAGGCTATCAGCTGCTGCAAAGATTTATAGCCTCAGAAACCCTATGTAGAGTCCATATGAGTCAGAATCAACTTGCTGGGAGGGATTTCTGATAAAGGAAGCTATGCCACTAGTATTCTGATATGAGGATTAACTATGGTGGACAGGTTTTAGCACAACTTCCAAACTGAGATGGAATAAGAAGTAAGACCAGGGCAATGGGAAAAACCCCATAGATCACAACCACTGTCCTTAGGGTAAAGTTATACCCTAGGGCCACAGGGGCTAGATCGTCTGACTTCCACCTATCTCTCCAGCTTCTTTTCTTGTAACCTCACCTTTCTCTGAAGTCCACCCTCCCCGGGGAATGAGACCATGCTGAAACCTCCACCTCTTGGCCAGTTTTAAGGCATCTGTCTGGCTCTCTGTCCCCCATCCCACTCAGTCCCAGGCGGGGTAAGTTGTGCCTACTCTTGGCTCCCATAGCTAGTCCCTCGTGTTTTGCCCCATGGGATGGGCTGTCTCACTGCACTTGACTGGTCTGTTTCCATGTCTGTGCCCTGCACTCCTCTGTGCGCTCATTGCAGCAGGCCCAAGTCCCACGCCAACCCCCCAGCACAATTGCCGGGCATTCCCTTGCTGCCGGCTACATGCGCAGGGGCAGAGCCCAGGAGTCCAGAGTGGGAGGCCCAAGCCCGACAACTCAGAGGAAGGGAACTCCAGGTTGCCTGGTGTGGTTCAGTTCTGGTCCTTCCGAATGTGGCTGTGGGTTTGTTTTTAGGGGATCTCCCCAGGAGGGAGAAAAAGAGCCGAGTGTCTCAGAAATCAGCGTTCTCGTCCCTTCCTCCATCCCTGCTGGGAGTGGATGGAGGTGGTGGGCATCCGTACAGAGTGGAGAGGACTCACAGAGAGCCACATCCACCAGGGGGCTCCAGAGCAGCTTCCTGCTCCTGCCTTCTCTGTGGCCCCGCCATCTCCCCTGGGCTCTGACTTCTCCACATGCCTTGGGACTGCCAAAGCAGGACCCGGTCTCTGGACAGACAGCAGGCTCACCCTGCACTGCCCCCCCATCAATGGAACCAGAGACTGTGCCAAGCCTCAGGGGCATCCACAAACCTGGGTATGACCCAGGCCCAGCAGAGGCTGAATGAATGAGGAAATGGCCAAGGATGTGGTGAGGACTAAGGGGATGGTATCATCATCCTGTCTCAATCACCCAATTTGGTTGCCATCCAATTTTGCTTAATAGAAGGAAGGACTCTGGCAATTAAGTGGAGCGGCTGCCTTGTGCATCCCAGTCACGGGAGGTAGTCTCCAGAGGTTAGATGGGCACTCAGAAGGGGGGCGGATTGAGGATTTTACCACTCCTCCGGTGAGCTGTGAGCTCCTTTCAGTCCCCAGACCTGAGATTAGAGGGTTCTCCCTTCCTGGGTCTAGCTGTCAGCATGTCTCAGAACCTCTCCCCTCACCAAGCCTTCTGAGATCCCTAACCGGCTAGAGATGGAGGACTGAGTCCTGGAAAAGTAAGCCCCGACCCCAGGACATTCGGTGGCTGTAGGGCGGCTCTGCTCACCTGCCGGTACCAGATGTACGTGGTCAACACCTGATTCTTCTCATCCTGTGAAAGGAAAGGGAGGTGGGCTCAGGGGCTCTGTGGGCTGCAAGCCCATCTCATAGATGCCCCCACCGCCCCCCAACCCCCGGAGCTGCTGCTTTGTGCCCTTTCCCTTGAGAAGGGCGAGTGAAGCAAAGCAGCAGCAACGTGTGGATTGCAGCTCACAGTCGGTCTATACTCACATAGACACTTCCTAACAACAGACCCTGAAATCCTACCTATACTCGCATAAAAGCTTCATAGCAACA